AAGAAGGTCTATAACCGAGGATGATAATCCCCCTTCTCTTATAGGAGGAGATATGATGGATTCTTTAATATCACAACTCCAGCTTCCAACCCAGCAACAGCCATTTTCAAAGCAGCCAGGAACATCGGGCACTTATCCTCTTACTTCACCCCTTCCATCTTACCACAGCACCATTAATCAGTCTCCCTCTATGATGCATGCACAGTCTCCAGGAACTCTTGACCCTAGTTCACCGTATAATATGGTGTCACCAAGTGGACAAGCAGGGAACTGGCCAGGGTCACCTCAAGTATCTGGCCTCTCACCAACAACATACATGCCAGGAATGTCACCAGCCAATCCATCACTACATTCTCCTGTTCCAGACACTTCTCATTCCCCTCAAGCTGGAACAAGTTCCCAAACAAGGCCAACAAACATGCCTCCACCTCGTAAACTACCTCAGCGCTCTTGGGCAGCATCCGCACCTACTATCCTGACTCACAGTGCCTTGAACATTTTACTGCTGCCCTCACCAATGCCGGGCCTTATGCCTGGCTTGGCAGGCAGTTACCTGTGTTCTCCACTTGAGAGATTTCTTGGATCAGTCATCATGAGAAGACACCTTCAAAGAATTATTGAACAAGAAATGCTGCAGCTGATAAATTCCAATGAACCTGGAGTAATAATGTTTAAAACTAATGCACTGAAATGCAGAGTAGCCCTGAGTCCCAAAACCAACCAGACACTTCAGCTAAAAGTGACACCTGAAAACGCAGGACAGTGGAAACCTGAGGAACTTCAAGTTTTAGAGAAATTCTTTGAAACAAGGGTTGTAGGACCACCATTTAAAGCTAATACATTAATAGCCTTCACCAAGCTTTTAGGAGCTCCTACACACATCCTCAGGGACTGTGTGCACATTATGAAGCTGGAGCTTTTCCCTGATCAGGCAACACAGCTAAAGTGGAATGTTCAGTTCTGCCTGACGATCCCTCCGAGTGCACCACCAATTGCACCTCCTGGGATGCCTGCTGTAGTGCTGAAATCCAAAATGCTATTTTTTCTTCAGCTAACACAGAAAACAGCGGTCCCTTCCCAAGAACCTCTTAGTGTTATAGTTCCAATCATTTATGACATGGCTTCAGGTACAACCCAGCAGGCAGACATTCCCAGACAGCAGTACTCTTGTGTTGCTGCTCGCATGATGGTCGGCAACATTCTGAAGAGATTTGCAGAGATGAATCCACCACGGCAAGGTGAATGCACAATATTTGCAGCTGTTCACTATTTAATGGCTAATCTTATACTGTCTCCTTTTGGGCATCCATAGACATTAT